CTCCGCTGTTTCACAGTGACTCGAATGAGTTGTCAACCTAACTGCGCAATTTCTCTTCACAGTGTTGGAAAACCGCCACGTCAATAATATGCTACAAATATACCAGTGCCTGTGATTCAAAAACAGTTAGTTGAATAGGCTAGCTGTTTCTTACTATGCAAAACTTACAAAGGTATGATTTACGCTTAGCTGGACGCATTATGAAAACAGCCCAAGTTCGACAAAAGGTAATTCACTGTATTTACTCTTTTTTAATGCAGCTGCTGATGCGTATACTGTATACAGTGTTTTTCTAAATCTTAAGACAAAGGAATCTCAAAATCCAAACAAAAAACAAAAGGAACAACTTGTAACTAAGGCACAATGTTTTCTGTAGCAGCTGACAAAGTGTAGGTTAACAACTCACTTTAATATATTGCTGCTAAATGTGGAAACAAGTAATGGGACTTGTATTGCTGTTATGCATGCACTGTACTCTTCAGATTGGTTTGGGAATCAACTAAGAGACCATTCAGGACAGAAAATTAACTTAACAGAAATTATTCAGCCCATAATGTAGATAGTCTTGAGTCACAAAATTTAGTTGAAGTACGCAATAATAAAGAGCAGAAAACCCTTTTTTCTAAGGGTTAATCCTGGGCCGCGCGATCGCACCAAATGAGCTTTCCTTTTCTCAAAGGCGCAAAGACAATTTTAACTTGTGCCATACGGGGGCGTACAAATAGCAGAAACTGTTATTTCGTAATCAAGATCTTCGTACATTATGATGTCGCTCGAAGTGCGCCTAGCGATGCTGTAAGGGCTGACATGTGACCCGTTTCACAAAAAAAAAAAAAAAAAAAAAAAAAAAAAAAAAGAAAGAAAGAAACTGAAACCAGTACGAGACATTGAAAAGTATGTACTGCCCAAAAAAACTGAAAACGGGCCGCTCCAGTATTGATTTTTTTTTTTTTTTTTTTTTTTTTTTAGCGGGAGGGGTGCTGTGCAAGCAGAAATGAGCTGGGGACTGGAAACTTGTCAACAGTAAGCCTCACTGGAAATATGAACTAGCAAATAATGAGTCCTGCAGTGCAATAATCAAAAATAATTAATGTGTAAATTCATTAATGGGTATGCCAACTCAATTTAGTAAGGTTATCTAGTTGCTTGCTATATTTTATGCAAGTATATGTGTGTGTGTGTGTGTGTGTGTGTGTGTGTGTAAGATGGTCTTAGCTTAGCTTAGATCCCTAATGAGTTATTTTCAGGTTAAAAAAGAATGCAAATGTTTTGAAAAAAAAATAAATATGGGAATTGCCAACCCATTCCATGCCGTGCAATTTTTACTCACAGTACAATTATTAATTTTGAAAGATTTGCATTTGTATATTTCATTTCAAAGAGAAGGTCTAGATGGTCTTTATTTTCTTCATATTGAAATAAATCTAAAAAAAACTATTAACAAAATGTATAAAATAATAAGAAAATTACATTTAGGATGTCTTTAATGCCTAAATTTTAAATAAATATGTATATTTATTATTATATTTATTTGATTTCTTGTTGTAAATATAATATGAAATCGAAATAAGCTGAAAACTAAAAGATTCTTTAGCTGAATATTCTAACTAATCTGCCACTTGGTTTCCAAAGTAGCACTAAAAAAAGATCATTCTCAGTTATAAAACGTGTGGACCGCCGTGGTAAGTTAAAACGGATAAGATCAGATAAATATAATGGTCCTTGTGAATGGATTGCCTTAAAAATAATACAAAGTACTTAAAATCAATCCTCTGCTTCGCAGGCAGCCAGTGTAATGGGAGTGATATGGTGTGTACTTTATTTGACAAACCAGTTTTGCAGCTGAATTTTGAATAACTTGTAACTTTTTAATGTGATAGTCACAAATAGCAAAAAGCAGTAGTCTAATCTTGATGATATAAATGCATGTACTAATTTTTCAGTTGTTTTGTTATTTAAAACTTTCCTTATTTTTCCAATGCGCCATAGTGCATAAGATGCTGATTTACACACTTCAGATACTCGCTTCCCCATAGTGCCCTTTTCATCGAGGGTAACTCCCAGATCTTTTACAGAACTAGATGGTTTTATAAGAACATCTCCTATGCAAATGTTGGCATTTGCTGCATTTTTCCTATTTGCGTTTAACTTTGATGTAAACCATATCATCTCAGTCTTACTATCATTTAAAGCCAACATGTTCACTTTCATCCATTCTCGGAATGGATTCGCCTTTTGTACAGTCAGACTAAATAGATTGGGGGTGGGGGTTACTGTGCTCTAATGGATTCGCCTTTGGTACGGCCAGATTAATGCAATGTGGAGGAGAGGGCACAGTGCCCCAATGGATTTGACTTTGGTACGGCAAGATTAATTAGATGTGGGGGAGAGGCTGCAGTGCCCGAATGGATTCGACTTTGGTACGGCAAGATTGATGATATGTGGGGGAGAGGGCACAGTGCCCCAATGGATTCACATCTGTAAATATTCAGTGAAAATCAATCTGAGGCCCGAGTAGATATATAACCACCCTATTTGATGATAAACGTAGTTTCTTTTTAACTACGGCGTCACGCAGTTTTGAAGGGCTCTGGTCTAATAAAGTTGCTAGTAAAGTTCATTTTAATTAACATTAAGATATATAAATGTCCTTCATAAACTTACCTGAAAGGTTCAGAAATTCCTCTGTGGTGATTTCAGATAATTTGGAATCTCATTTCTTCTCCGCTGTTTCACAGTGACTCGAATGAGATGTCAGCATAACTGCGCACTTTCTCTTCACAGTGTTGGAAAAACCGCCACGTCAATGATATACTACAAATATGCCAGCAGGCATAGTGGCGTTGGATCAACTTTGAAAACAGGTTGATACATTGAATTGCCGTTGATCTACCTAAATTCAACGTAAAATCAACGTAAATCCAGCCACGTCGAAACACAGTCATAATGTGACGTTGACTCAACGTTGTATTTTGGTCAATGACACAGCCTTGCAGTTATGGATTGTAATTTAAAATATTATTTATTGAAAACGTGATACTTTGTTTATCAATACTCTTATGAAATTTATCAAAATAATAAAAAAATGGTTTTAAAGTAAAAGTGACAGTTGTTTTGTGTCTTTAGTTAACTAGTGACTTTCCCTAACTTATTCAGAAACACATTCCAATAAACTGAATTCCTTGGAAGGTCAGCTAACACTAGGATGAATAAGTTGGTGTAAATGAAGCCCACCTTTAATTTAACATTTCTTTAGTAATAACTCTTCGTTTTGGCCAAAAATTGGATTTTCCTGGAGTAAACGGCAATTTTCCCGTACTCACCAATGGTCAGCGACCCCATTCCTGCATTCAAAGTTAGTCCAGGGTTTTTTCCTAAACGTTTGGATTTTTGTTTAAATCTCTTAAGCGATTTTAGCTGACGGAGCCCTCTCTGACATTGCATAGTCACGCGATATCGAGCGATAGTTTCTGGTGACCTACTTAAAACCGCGGGAAAAGCAGACAACAACAACACCATAACAATAATATAAGATTCATAAGATATATTCGTCTTATTGCTAAAAATGTATTTATATCTACAATGTGTGCTATCTGTGCTATTCTGGGCTGTTCGTTATCCGACGCACTGTACAAAAACTCGCAACTTACGTCTGCTATTGCATCAGGCTTTTGCCGCCAGAAGTTATTTTGGTCTCGAATGAACGCGAGAATCCGCGTGACACCCTAACGTTATTGGCAACGGTTGCCTTAACGACTGGGAAGCACAGACAAGCACAGGTTTTATTTTTACTACAATAACGGCCGTTTTAGTGGTAAAATGCAATAGAATATATTTATATGCATTATTTACAATGTATTTCTTGCGGAATTTTGAATCTCAAAGGAAAAGTTATCATTGCTTTAAAGGCCATACTTTTATACGCTACATATATTTAGCCATGTCCTACTGCTTAACACATCCAGGCTAATTTCCCGCTGGGTGGGGTTAATATAACATTGTTTTCTGACGTTGATACAATGTTGTTATCTGAGGTTAACACGACTTTCAAATCCAACGTTTATTCAATGTCTTTTCAACGTTATGGTTCAACGTTGTTTAAAAAAACAACATAATTTGCCCGCTGGGTGTGATTCAAAAGCAGTTAGTTGAATAGGCCAGCTGTTTCTTGCTATGCAAAACTTACAAAGGTATGATTTACGCTTAGCTGGACGTATTATGAAAACAGCCCCAGTCCGACAAAAGGTAATTCTCTGTATTTACTCTTTTTTAATGCAGCTGCTGCTGCGTATACTGTATAAAGTGTTTTTCTAAGTCTTAAGACAAAAGAATCTCAAAAATCAAACAAAAAAGAAAAGGAACAACTTGTAACTAAAGCACAATGTTTTCTGTAGCAGCTGAGAAATTGTAGGTTAACAACTCATTTTAATATGTTGCTGCTAAATGTGGAAACAAGTAATGGGACTTGTATTGCTGTTATGCATGCACTGTACTCTTCAGAGTGGTTTGGGAATCAACTCAGAGACCATTAAGAACAGAAAATTAGACAAATAATTTTTTGTAAGTTTTATTCTAAAGCAAAGAAGCAAAGAAACGAAAGATAACATGTTTGCACTGGAAATTTCTTCTATTCACTTTGATAAATGGACGCATAGCGAAAGTATTAAGACAGAGAAGGCAATTCTGATGGACTTTTAAATTTGTCAAAATGAAAATATGTTTTACCACAGGGCCCAAGCGATTAAACAGATTAAAATTTGGCTTAGAGATTCAATAGCTAGGCCCCTGTACAGATGGCACATGTAGAGGTAGGGAGACTATAAGGGGATTAGGCAGCATTTTTTTTAAGTGGAGCTGGCCATATTAAGTCCGCAGATATTTAGCTATTTATTTTACTTTGTGAAAAATTAAAACTCTGAACTCTTATAAAGCAGTAAGGCCGAACTTCATTTTGAAAATTAATGTTCAATTCCGTTTAATTATTTTTATTTATTCTTTGCTTATTTAGCAATCATCATCTCTACTTTCTCTAACACACAATTAAGTCCACAGTTCTCTCCTTCCATCCCAGCGTACTTCATACAGCACTCATACTGCCCTGAGTTCACATCACAGTGCCCAGTGCCCGGATACCAGGAGTTCAGACCCAGCTCCGTGCAGTTGGGGCCGTACCACCATCCTCCACCATTGGCGCATGCGCAGTGCGACTCGCCGCCATAGTCGCAGGTAGAGAACGTCTGCCCGCTGGAACACGTGTCTGCAGATGGGCAACTCGAGTCGTTTGAGGTGAAGTTAGTTACGCCCCAGAACCCTTTAAAATCTTGCAAGAAAAGACGATATCCATCCGAAGGGGAACCGACGCGAAACGAAGTGTACTTAAACACATGTTGTGTGCCATCCCAAGTTGTCAGTTCAACCTTAAGTCTGTAGTTTCCGCTATTGGTGACGTAAGAAATGATGTCATTTCCAATCCAGTAGTCCCCGAGGACTGGGTTTCCGAATCCTTTGGTATACTCCGCCCATGTTCTGTTGAAGAAGAGATCTCCGATCTTGCGGCTTTGAATGACCAACCACTTCCCGCGGCATCTGGCTTTGAATACCCTTGGGAACCCCACGGGCTGCATAGACAGGGTCACTGGAAGGAGAAAGAGGGAACAATTATCGAAAAATGGACAATTTTATTTGGCAGCGGAGTTACCAACTCCATGCAGTCATGAGTATTCTGTGTATTATTTAGGAGAGACTTTTCTTTACATAATTTCCCCACCTCCACACGCGCCATTATACGAATTTAATCTTGCTATGCACCTGCAGCGAAGGCGCGTGTGGAGGCGGGGAGACCATCATGGAATTAGCAGCATTCAATTTGAAGTGGGGACGGCCATGTTTAGTTGTCGGATCAGTTAGTACTCGGATCATCTGAAAGCCCATTTAGGCTACATCTTTGCAGATTAGCTTGTACTGACGGAATAATAGGAAGCAAGTGCGTGAGATGGTGTGAGGATTGTGCACATCGGGCATGCGATGTGTTGGGTGTGTATTGTGTTAGATGTGGCTATAAGTTGAGTTGGGGAGGGGGGAGCAACAGTTTTTAATCAATGAGAGCAAAGGTTTGAGGCTGCGTGTAATCAAGAGCTACACACTGGCGGGCAGGCGAGGAAAATGCTTTGTAGACGAGGAAGATACTAAATTTGCTGTAATATAGAGCACATGGACGAAAATATTGGCAACCTGTATCTCGTTTCACTTTGGACACAAGCTGCGTGTTGTCTTTTTAGGGAAGGAGGAGGTTATAAATAATACGTGCACTCATGCCTCTGGCGGTAAGGGCGGGGGGGGGGGGGGGTACTTGGCCCGAATGGATTCGTCGTTGGTACGGTCAGAAAAAACTGTGCTGGTATAATTGTTGAAAATCTGACGCTTATGAATAGAGTCGCCGGCAGACATTTGAATAAACATCGTAGCTAGCTACATGTATGACCACGCACCACGTACTAGATACGTGCACACGACATTAATTTTATAATTCACTGTAACGCAAACACGCATATCAACATTTCAGGGTGAGCATTTTAAAAGCAACCTCTAAAATAATGTACATTCAATTAATTAATTATATTATTTTTCGTACGTAATGAAAATTTGTTTCATTATTTTTTTCTTTAATTAACTGATTAAGTTCTATGATAAATCGAATGTAAGAGTGATATTAAACTACAGTACCCCATCTTGATATCTTGTCACAGTCGCTGTTAAGTATCTGAAATAAAAAAGACATGTTTTCTTTAAAGTATCTGTCAGATTGATTTATCACCTTTGATTTCAAGGCCCCAATACTGGAAATCATCACGCACTGCAACTGCATGAGCGCAAGCGTCTCGATTCCATAACTCGCCCATACTCGCCCCATTATACATCGTAGCCTCTATGTGATATCGCTTTTTGCAACACGCGATGTTTTCGAGTTACGGAGCCCATTGAGACTTTTACAAATATGGAAATACAGAGTATCCGTGGCGTTGTGATATATTAGAATTCTACTTTGTAAAGTCACACTCTTCGATCCTATGTCATGTTAGTGTTAAGATAGATCGAAAAGGTCTCAAATGTGAACCACTATTTCGCAGTTCAATTTTTTTCATTATCCAATAATTATTCATTATCTAATCCGTTTGCCTAAAATATAATACACGTATTAAGTGCTTTTAACGTCTAAAAATCAATGACTCGTCGCTGTCGGTAAGGTTGATGTAGGATAATATGTAAATAAGGAGATTATTGGATGTTGTTTTGTCAAGCATTTGTTTGGTCTGGTATAAAACGAAGCCTGGGGATAACGCAGGATGCTTGCGGCGTTGCCAGACCGTATTGTAATCAAGAGCAGTGTTTCTTTTCGCTCCCAAATGTGATCAAATCATTTATGTGTTACATCATTTTTCAAAAAGATGTAATTTATAGTTGTTATTTCACACGACTTGTCACGTGAGAAATGGGTCCTTTCATTTCCAAAATAAAAATAAAATAAATCTAATAAGTAGTGAAATTCAAATATAGTTTGGTGGTTTCACTTTTTTAAATAATGTGCCCCAGTGAATGCTTGCCAAAATCAGTGTTTTTTTTTTCGATTTATTTTATTTATTTAATCAGTTTCATACCCGTATTTCAAGCGGTGTATTTTTCTACTAAGGGTGAAATTGAAAAATTAGAATAAGGCCAAAGGACAATCTTCATTTGATATCCACTGATGTTTTTTATGGTAGGCTTATTACAAACGACAACGCCTTGATTCAACATTTGTTTTATAAAATTAATATCAAATTTAGATACGCGATTAAAAAGTTTTGTTACAGGGAGCAAATCAGAATTTAGATAAAAGAAATCCAAAAATTTTAACCAACATAACGTTGAACTTGCCCACATAACCTTAAAAAACTAAAACCCGAAGAAAGCGCATGTCTCCTTTTGATTAACAGCTCATTTATAATTGAAGATACTAGTTTCTTACGCAAGTGTTACGGCTAAGGACGATAACATTTATAAATATTTTAAAGATTTTAGACGATAATAGGCAACGGTCAGTGGGTTGATTTAGAGTTTGCCCGTCTTCTTACCTTCTCGTAGTAATTATACCCAGGAATAATTCTCGTGTCTGAGCCGTCCTCGGACGCTGCCGCTTTATTTAACTCGCATTGAAACGTCCCGTTAATGGCGTGCGTGTTGATGGAGACACACAGATCGTCTGAAAGGCAAAGATGTGCACATTCACCCTGGGAGATCGTCGTCAGCGTTTCCCTAACGTGACCGATCAGCGCCCTCGAGCTGCCGTGACGCTTCACGAACCGCGCAAACTTCAGGGGTGACCCCCCGGTCTCAATGGACTGGCCTGTCACTAAAACCGAGAACAGAAGTAAGACAAGTCCCGTTAAGGATCCAATTGTGTGTCCTCTTATACTGGTCATTTCTGTAAAATAAACACACCTCAACTTATGTATATTCGACACCTCTAATCTCCCTGTTTTCAGATTTAGCGATATCAAGTAAACTCAGCCTTGATGCTTTTTCCGCTAAAAAAAAAATGACTCGGATAAATCCCAGTGCTGCGCTTGAGTGGAATTAAACAATTTCGTTAGCTCCCGGATTTAGAAAGGAAGTTGGTGTGAAGTTGCCTTATATCTTCACATTGATTTTTTTTTCATCAGAGCAAGTTTACATAGAATTTCATAGAGATATCTAAAGTCGAGGCATTTGCGACATAAAAGCAGACTGCGACAATTTGCTCCAAGCTGAAATTCTATATCTGTTCCTTTGACGGCGTGATGTTCGTCCTCGATTTCAGCCTTGACGTCTGTGAGAATGTTTTAACATTTGTAAGCTCAGCTGTGGCGAGACCGCCCTGTGTTAGATGCTCTCACGGCTTCTGAGAAACTAACACATGGGCGAATATTAAATGCCAATTCTTATACAGTCAGTGTTATGAATTATTTTCGGTATCGCGGTTTATTTTTCGTATCAGTGTAGAAACAAAATTTACACGGGGAAGTTTTTTGAAATATCATCAGTGTCTGGCAGATAAAATCTTCATTTTAGAGGGAAAACATAAATAATTCTCCAAGACAACACCTATTTATATTAAACAACTTTTTAAAAAAATATGTCTATAAATTTTATTTGTTTAACTTAGAAAACAAACAGCTCATGATCAGTAAGCAGTTCCTTATTTTTTAAAAATTAACTAAAAAATACATATAGATATATATTAAAATAAGCCGAGCAAGCTTAATCTGATATCTACAACTTCATACAAATCCATCATATTTTTAAAATTAAATCTTATGTCCGCATGTCATGCACCGTGTCTCTTTTATTGACGCTAACGGTTCAATTATCTTGATATTCATGGTCATCATAATTAATTTTAACAATAATATTAGTGCACAGTTGCTTCTTACAGAAAAGAAGTGTATGATCCTTGAAGTTATCACTAGCCAATAGCGCCTTAATGAAATTACTGTTTACAAGGAGAGATGTTATTGTTTCATCATTCAATGTGTCCGTTGCATGTTTGCCCAACCTGACTTACCTGCGTTAATGTAAGCCATTAATACTTAATTACTTACACAGCTGTTGGGCTTCAGATATCGCATTCTGAGACTTGGTTGAAGTACGAGACTTTTATTGAAACAAAGTGAAGTATCTTTATCTGATATTTGACTTTAAGAAGTCAACGCGCTGAATGAGCACTCGACCCTGTGGGGCATTGGTTACCGTGAATAACTCGTTTCGTAATCGAGCCAACTGAACGACCGTCAGGACAACTGTTAATATCACAATGGCGGCTTGGAGGAGGGCGGGGCACGACGCCCTTAGCTTTTCTGTCACAGGAAAATAATGTGCCCCACCCCGGCACGCGCTCCGTACACACACGTGCACACACACACACACACACATGTGCGCGCGGTCATGCACGGTGTCTCTTTTATAAAATTGGTTATTTCAGTGTAACAGTGTTAAGAGGGATTATGAACAACTTCATGCTGATCTTGAAGGATACTTTGACACTGAAGGTGATTTGTCCATCCCCTACAAGTACAAGCTCTCTCAGACGAACTTTTTGGTCATTTCCCATTTCTATTTTCATTCTGTATATTTTCATAAAAACGATTCCGAACCTCAGATCTACTTTTATTGTTTCCATTGTCTGAACTAAACACCTTTTAATTCTCTTTCATGTGTCTAATTTTCCGGTAAATCATGTGCACATCTTGTGCGCAAAATAAATAAATCAATAATAATTAATTTATTTAATTACTTGATGTAACCTATAGGTATCAATAAGCATGCACATCCGGTCGCCCCTAAAATAAATAGGATAGGTCGTGGTTCATGTATAAAAACACAGCTGATGAAGTCAATGATATAAACATGACGCTAAAACAAAAATGTGTTGCCATTCAAGTGCACATGCACGCCATGCCCCGCACAAGACCCTCGCTGGAAATGTACACGTTAACTAATACAGAGGACGTATTTCGTAACGGTATTAAGTTACAATTGTAGACAATGGAAGGCCTCGTAACCGTGACAGCTTCACACTCGGGTTTTTCTCACTTTTGTAGGCTGCAGGGGTTGGGCAGTTCCACCCAACACTCTTTTTTTTTGCTTTTTAAAATATACTTTTATCTTATTGTTTAAGTATTAGTTAATCCTTTTCTCCCTCCCAGTCCATCGGAAAATCTCACTTTTCCTTCATTTAACGTCTTTCCAAAAACACATCGGACGTCAGGATCGGAAACGATTTATTCATGAAAAATACAAATACGCACCGTGGGCCAAGACAATTTTTCCATCCACATTGTCAGAGGTTAGCAAACCCTGAATATCTGATTCCATAGCTGTTACATACACTGCACTAACTTTTCTCATAATTGCTTTCGACGATTCGATTTTTTCACTAATTATATCGAGACTAGCCTACACCTAGGCAGGCAGACGAGAAACATTTGATTATTTGGCTGAAATGGTTGGACCTTGAGGTTTGTTCGGGGACCTATTGCAGGGAGTGGTTTTATCTTCCCTGATTTAGGCCCAGAATATCATTTCTAATCACAACAATTATCTTAATTTAGGCCCTAGCTATCTGACATGCATATTCTTACAAAATCATTTGATAGTCAACAGAAATTATGCGATGCTATGTCGGCCTACCAGTGCGTCATCTGTGGTCTTACTGATGATGTAGGCCTACAGGGGCGGATCCAGGATTATTTGAAAGGGGGGGGGGGCGCGGATGCGAAGCTGACCCTCCTCCCCCGGTTGGCGTGGGTTTCGAAAATTGTTGGTATTTTAGAGGGCGAACAGTGCCATTTGGTACGGTTTGGTAGCCATACTAGTCAAAATTCTAATTCCAAGAGGGGTATAGGCCTATAGGCCTATATATATTAGTGTAGGCTATGCCTACTTTTTTCAGAAATCGAAGGGGGGTCCTGCCCCCTCTCACCCCCCCCCCCTCTGAATCCGCCACTGATGTAGTCACCGTGTCCGTAAAATAATTGAGTTAGAGTAGGCCCCTATTGCGTGGATTTTTTTAATCTTCTTAATTATTTTTTTTATTTTAACCGAAGATAATTAAACTAGTGAAGTACCTGTCCTAAAGGAATCGCTGATCGACGTATTCAACATCAGTGTTGATGTCCCTTTAACAAGATATTGTGCCATCATCGTCAAAACCTAATATTTACGTAAAATAAAAGAAAAAAACAATAACATAAAAAAATTAATATATTAAAAATAAACAAATAAAATAGGCTTAGAATAAGTAGGCCTATATTTATAAATGAAAAGATGTTTTAATTGACTAATTACTTGATAATATTATGTAACAAAGAATGTCTTTAATTGAAGTTTTTTTTTTCTTCACGCGACAATATTAATTTTCTTCTGCTTTTCTAGCTTACACACTGAACAAAGACTTTTTGTATCGTCTACCCAGAATACATTGCGCTCTTTTCGTCAAATGCAGAGGAAATCCATAAAACAGGGCAATTTCACTGTGTAAAATGTGGTCGTGAATTGTTTAACTGTCACTTATTTACAAAAATACAGTATGATAATAACAGTGATAGCCTGAAACTTCAAATACGGCACACGCGACGCTTTTCTTGACTGTGGGACGGCAGGTGCACTCTTCCGTGGAAAAGCGAGAGAAAACGTGAACAAACATGGCAGCCTCCATGCCTCAAGTTTCGGTGTGTTGTATATCACTTATTTTGCTATTTTTAGCTAGTTTATGTCAAGGATTATATGAAGATCAGATTGGAAAGTTTGATTGGTATGTATCAGCAGCATAATTGACATTTCTAATTTAAAAAAGATAGGGAGTATTTGTGAATTTGAGCTGGCACTTAACAGTCTGGCTGCCGACAGTGTTTCACTGTTTGTGAATTTGTATACCGACTACATATAATACCCTTAAGTTCATGCACCGTTACTACCTGCGTCGCTCCCCCCCCTCCTTGCACCATTACTCCACTCTGTTATTACCTGGCATCACCCTGACACCCTGGCATTAATGGCGAAAGAGGGGGGGGGGGGGAGAGAGAAAACTTCAAGAATAATTTCTCCAAAAAAATGACATACGAGTTCAAATTCCAATTAAGTCTTTGAACTGATATGTGGAATGTATTTGCTGGCTTTTGAAATTAAATTTTAAACATTGCCCTTCTTTTCAACCTTTTTGTGAATTGTCAAAATTTTAGATGTGTGTCAACTGTGGTCAGTTCCTGACCACAGAAATGGAGAATAAGTAGCCATCTGACACTTTATTATTTTTGCAAAAATGATTAACTGCTGCCACTTTTTGTCCTTAACAGTCCCTAAATATATAAGCTACATGCACTTTTTAATCACAACGCTTAATGTAACACTTAATGTAAATACAGCAAATTTAGAACAAAAATATGCATCTTTAGACTCTGGTACGTCACACCAAAAAATCTTATTAACTTGTTACTTTTTATCATTTCTAGGAAGCAGGAGTATGTAGGGGAAGTTTCCCACTTGAACTTTGAGGGCAAAAGGCTGCTAGTTGGCACAAAACATAATGTGGTGGCGTCTCTAAATGCTAGGAATGGACAAATAGGTGAAAATTTGCTAACCTTTAACTGTTTTCCTGATTACCATTTCAAATAGTGCGTATTGCTCACCTCATATACTGTATAAATTACTAGTACTATATAACAGATGCACATCAAATATTACTTTCTCTTTTGTTTAAACCAAGACCTATTGTTGAAGAATAAAAGCCTTCATCTTAAATGGTTATTTATGGGAGAAGTGAATGTTATAAGTACAGAGGTAAAGTGGGGTAAACATTTTTCTAGTCCAATGTAAATGGTTTTTTGAAAAAAAAAAGAGATATTATTTTAATGTCAATAGAATATTTTGTGTTATTTCAGTTTGGAGACAAGTACTTGAAGAAGACTCGAGGGGACGCATAGATGCTCTTCTTGTGAAAGATAAAAGTAAGATTTGCTATTGTCTCGCAACTGTGAGAGAAGGACCTTGGCTTCTTGCAGCACTTCAGATACAAAATGTTTTTCAGTCTTCGGGTTCACACCAGTTTTGACTTACAAACAAAATACTGTATTAATACTTCACAAGACAGCTCATTAAAATGTGTTCTGAGATACAGTTTTGTTAATTGAAAGATGTACATGCATTTATTAATGGCAGACTGATGAATTTTTTCTATCATTTGGTTATAGATCATCAATTAGACTTCAGATTTTTCCATTATTCCAGTTGCAATAACAGTATCAGGCAATGACCATATAAGGTCATGGGATGTGGAATATGGAGGTTTGAACTGGGAGGAGCCACTAGATGGCGCTCCAGATGCCCCTGAAGCTCAGGCGTGCCTTATGGGGAGCTCACAAGGTGAAGGTCACAAATGTGATATGTGTGTATAAACTGTATCAGCTAGGGCAAAAAGTTGATCTGTCATTCTTTTCTTATTCCCAAATGCCAAATATTGACTATCCATGAATTATATGAAGAAATAAAAAGTTGTAGTGGTTTGTTGAAAGTATTTCATCTCTAATTTTTTAAAGCCACAGTGAAAGGGTTGGGAGTGTTTTGGGATAAAAAAAATCTTAATTTGAGAAAGTTTCCTGTTTCACTTTACCAAAGATGAAGGGACTCCAGGCTAATTTTATGTACAGAAATGTTTTTAATGCAATCAATAGCCTAGATTAATTTAGAGTGATTGTACATCCTTATTTAAAATGCTGATCAGGCTCATAGCCAGGGGGGTTCTAAAGAAATCCCTTTTGCTGAGAAAAGGTTCCCATCTGGGTAAAATTTTATCTAGGACTAAGGTACATGAAGGTTTCATGTTAAAAAGTCCCCCCTTATGAAAGTGCTGGCTACGGGCCTGCTGATATTATGATGTACCTGAACATTTCAGACACAATGGTGGTGCTGAGTGCAGGCAAGCTGCTGGCTTTCAACGTCAATGGCCAGGAGTTGTTCAGGAAAGTTCTTCCCAGCAGGTCAGTGCTTGGATTTTAAATATACTGACAGTCATTGAAAACACACCAGAAAACTTTCTTGTATTTTTTTTACCGAGAATCGATTTAAACCATTTAAACGAGTACAAATGCACTAGTTTCCTCAAAAGAGAGTGGGCTGACCACTCAGATGTTTAAAATTTCCGCTTCAGTGATTTTGTGACCAGCTCTTGTGTGTTGTGTTTTTCCTGTCTCAATATTACTTTTAGAATTTTGATTTCATGGGCAAAAGTTTTCAGGATAATGCCTGATTTCAGGATTTTCACTCTTCATTTTGATATATATGTATTTTTTTCCATATGGTCTAAATGAGAGAAAAAATTGCAAGCCATGTTCTCAGGATTTTCAGTTATTACATCTTTCACTCATGCAATAAAGTCCATTTACAATATCTGTTATTCCAGTGATGGTGCTATCCACAAATTCCTGCACTGTGGGAGGACAGAGATTAATGTTATTGGCGTTGTGCCAAATTCTCATGTATCCATAGCAACATACAGTGACTCGGGCAATGTCCAATCACAGAGCCCTGTACCTGCGGACTGGGTGAAGAAGGACACAAGGTGAGAGGGTTTTTTAAAAAACTTTGAAGTGTTCAGGCCATTACAGATGAATATTAAAAACAATAGCAACAGCCAACAACAAAGATATATCATCAATAAAAAATCTTAAGGTTATCGAAAATAAATATATGTATACATGTATATTTTTTATTTTTTTATAACCCTTTATTGATGTAATATTTTAGGTAGCTATGATTGATTTTTTTAAATTTGGAGATATTATGATCCACCTTCTTTCATAAATTGACCCAAATAGTTCATTAATGAAAGGGGATTTTAGATTGGTAGCCAAAGTATATAGTGAAATCAAAATTGTCTTCAAAAACAGCTGCCTGATGTTTCCTGTTTGTTTAGGTGTCTCCTCATTGCTGATGGTCATCTAGTCTGTTATGAGCCACAGCTGAGCAGCTTGAGAACTCTGGCACTGAAGAAAGGACAGGCATTCTCTACCACTCTCTTACAGGTGTGATATTGTTGTTTAGATGTTTGTAGTCTTAATTGAAAACCCCAAAATGTCAGTTAAATATGACAGATTCATTTCTGATATTTGATGAATTTGATGAACCACCTCCGCTAGTTTCTTATATGATAAAAAAAGGATAAATAAATAAATTTTCACCAATCATTCGGTCATGAATCAAAAAAAAGAAAAAAAAAAAGCTTTAAAACTGCACCATCTTCAAATTTCTTGTTGGAAACTTGACATATTTATCTCTCTCCAGTTTTTAAAAGTTTGCCAAAATACACTGTAATGTATGTAGCATAACAACTGCACATGCAATAGCATAAATATCTTAATACATGGCTTAAGCCACCTAGGAATACATATATAGAAAACAAAAAAATATCCTTTTTTTTAAGAACGTAATGTTTCCTGTTAAACTCTATGATAGCATTCAGTTGAGTTTAAGAGCAAGGATTTGACTTTTAAATTTCAAGTTTCCTTTTCTAGGAACTAGGCTTGCAAGGCCAGGCTGTAAAGCTGACTTCCTTAAATCACAGAAACATGTTTGTGGTACAACTCTCTGCTTCACATCTTGCCTTGCTGTCAGTGGGTACTGATGCTGTAAAGCTGGTTCTCAACCTGCCAAAGGTGGGTACTGTTTGTATGAATAAATATTTGCAACTGCCGTGTATCTAAGAACAGACATTAAAGATTGTGAACTTTAGTTAAGGAAACTAGGAATCAACACCATTTGTTTTAAAGACGTAAAAAAAAAAAAGAAGGTCCCTGCATTGACTACCAGGGTTAATCACATTTATAACCTATTTTATACTCTTTTTTGTAGGTTTCAGCTGTCTCTGTGTCATCCAGTGGTGACATAGAGGACACACTGGTCACTATAGGCAGACAGGGCACTGAGGTAAGAGTGGACAGTGGGCAGTTTCCATCTCCAGTGGTGACTTAATTCACCTCAGAGCTTGTCTTTTAGTGGACAGTGGGTAGTCTTCGCCCCCCCCCCCCCCCCCCCCCCCTTCTGGACCAGTCACTGAACCTCCGTTTTCCTTTTTATAAGATGTTGAAAGATAATCTAAAATAATCTGAACTTTGAGAAATGACAAATAATTTCTCTTTTAATCCAATCTATCTTCTCAAAGCATGTTTTCTTAAGGCTGTAGTATGTTATGAGGCTTTAGTATGTTATGAGACTACATCCTCTGGGAAGGTAAAATGTTGACCAGTCAGTATTAATGCATTTCAGAATGCAGTAATCAGGTGTTTGAATCTGAAAACTTTGAAGGAAATCCCAGAGATCAGTCAGGAAGTCCACTTGGCACATCATCACGGGACTCCAGTTGGGGTGAGTTGGCCATGTACACTGTCTTAAACTCTACTTAAGGTTATCTCTCCATGTAAACGGCCACAAAACTCAAGTTAGGGCGAGCTGGCCATGTACACTGACTTTAACTCTACATGAGGTGATTCCTCCATGTAAACTGCCACAGAACTTAATTTGGTGTTAATATGTGAGAATTGGAATTTTAATCTTTATACAGTTAATGGATTTCATTGTTATTCTATTCTTGGTAATCCTAAATCATTTTGGAAAGACTTTAGATTGTTTTTTTGTGTGTTATATTTCAGATCCAGGGGTTCTTCTTCAAGAAGAGAGATGGCAGCACTGGGCACAGAACGGTGGTGTTGTCAGAAGATCAGTCCATTGTGATGTTCCAGCAGGGAGGTGGGTGTTCCACCCCCACCCCTTCTTCCACCACCCCTCCCCTGGCCCTCTGTCTCACCCTACTCCACCTGTTCCTTTTTTGTTTTCTCTTTTTACACTCTTCATTTTCTCTCTCTCTCTCTCTCTCTCTCTCTCTCTCTCTCTCTCTCACACACACACACACACACACACACACACACACATCTATAGCTATTAGTATTTCTCATATGACTACGGTTAGCATTAATTTTACAGGTAAAATGTCCTGGATCAGGGAGGAAGCAATATCCTCCATATTGTCTGTGGAGATGGTTGACCTTCCTGTGTCCGAGAACCAGGCCAAATATGAGGATGAATTTGGGGCACAGCAAGGTATGCCACATTATGGTCACACTGTAAGAGTTGTCTATAGTGACAGTAGCCTTCCTCTTGTTGCTGGGATATCAACTGTAGACTGCAAAGTCAGTCATGAAAAATGATAAAATTATTGCCAAGTTGCATTATGAATTTGATTTTATTTTGTGATAATTTTTTTTTTTTATTTTTTGCTTCAAAACTGACATTGTCCTGGTAAAATTTACACAGAGGTAATATTAATTCTTAAAATTTTAGTATCTGCTGTTGTATTTCATCAACAGTTTGTCAGCTTCCTGGGTGTGTATCATCTTGTCTTTAAGCGCCATCTATAATATTGTATTTCATTTCATCCTGCACAGCAGTGATCTCAGGTACAGACAGTGTGTTTCCCGTACACTAACTTGACATGTAGAATGATGTTGTATTAGCACACACAGTACAGTTTTTACCTGTTAGAGAATAGTAATGACTCGATCTTTTCAATGGGCAAAAATATCAAACATTCAGGTACAACATTTTAAAATCACCAAAAAAATTATGTTGCTTTTAATGCATAGAAAAGAATTATAAGGTAGTCTGCATTTCAACTTTTTACTAACATTCAATAGGATGCTCTTTTAAGAAATTATGCTTAAAATACAGTATCAGTAAAATTCACAATTTTCCCCACTGAAAAGATCAAGTCATTACGGAAACCGTACTTGTAATATTTATCTGTTGTAACTTCTGTGCATTTACTTGATCATCCAAATTTGTTACCTTTTTTTCAATATTGATGTTAATATCTGGCTGTTTTTCCTGATAATTGCCCAGTATTGATTGAATTAGTCACCCTGGCATTGTTGTGTTTGTTGTTATCAGAGCAGAGCAATGAGATTGTTTTGTACTGAATGGCATGTTTACATTGAGCTGCATGAGTGAGACAGACATTCATGTGTGTCCATGTTATATGAAGGGTGTGGGATATGGAGTTTATTTCTCACAAAAGAAGTGTGTGTGTAGCCTGTGCATGTTATAACTAGTTGACAGTCAGACAGACAGACAGACAGACAGACACATATTATTTTTTTTTTTTTTTTTTTTTTTTTTGGTACTTACAAGTTTGCAAATTTTTGAATTCCTTCAGTGGTTTGTTGATGTATCTGTGTTACAGGTTGTTTAAAGTAAAGGATCAGAGTTTAGTGTGAATACGGTGACATGTTATTTGATGATTATGTAATTTGTATTGTTCAACTCCTGGCAAATGGTTGTTTACAAAGGTTCCTATTTACAAAAATATTTATTCAAGGTATTTTTAAGATTGTGTAAATTTGAGTTTGGAATATTTTTAACATGTTCAAAAATCTAAGCAGTCGGAAAAATTTATACTATGGAAAACACCACTTTCATAAAAGTGTATAGCACACACTGTGCAGACATTTCTGTAATCCTATTATGCATTATACAGGTAATTTCGCTTCTTTCTTGTAGATGACATTGGCACCAAGTTCGTCAAGAGACTAACTACCCAGTTATCCCAAGTGAAGGTTAGAGCATGCTTTGTTCAATTACATTATAATATACATATATCTGTGTGTGTGTGTGTGTGTGTGTGTATGTGTGTGTGTGTGTGTGTGTGTGTGCGTGTGTGTGTGTGTGCGCGCGTGCGCATTTTATTTCATTCTTGAGCGTTAATCCCTTATCAAATATTTACATTTTTAGACTGTATCTCAAAGCAACATCTTCAGTTTTTAAAATATTATATGTATATTATTGTTTGAATCTGAAGTAGAAAATCTTACTATTCTTGTCTTATTTCCAGTCATTTGTGGTGCACCTCCAGCAGCAGTTGTTGAAAGGCCCACGCCATCAGTACCTGGAGGAAGACAATGAGTTTAATGAGGACGAGGAACTCACTAGAGACGAGTTCAGTATTAACAAAATGATTGTGGCTGTCACAGCACCTGGAAAGGTATGTCTTGGCATGTAGTGACATTTAGATTTAAGTTAACACTATTGTGGTTGCCACAGCATCTGGAGGGGTGTCTTGGCACACAGTGACATCTATAGTTTGGTAAACACTTTTGTGGGTGCAGTGGCATATAGGGATTTCTAAAGTTTATAATTAATACACACAATTGTGACTGTCACTGTAAATTGTAAGATAAAATATCTCATACAGAAGATCCAATGACCAGTGTACAGTGAACCATATTGTTTCTATTCAGCTTTTTGGCATTGAGAGTTCCACAGGTCGTATCATCTGGCGCCACCTGTTGCCTGCTCTGGTTCCATTTGAACGCCAGGGGAAGCAACTTCTCCTTTTGTTTGTACAGAGGACCACAGCGCATTTTCCCAACCCCCCTCAATGTGCAGTACTGGGAAGACATAAGGTAAGCTGCCCCTGGGAGACTGGGATACAGATATATCTAGTCTAAAATGACATCTCCCCAACCCCCCTCAGTGTTCAGTACTGGGAAGAGATTATATAGATATCAACTCCCAGGATATTTCATCTTTACTCTAAATACTGCTATATGTATATATAACCCCAACCTTCCTCATTGTGAAATACTGGGAGTATATAAAGTTAGCTGGGATATTGGAGTTTTTGATATATAATTAGTATTGTTAATATTGGTATAATTATATACCATCTCCCCAGCAGTCATCAGTATGTGGTACAAATTTTATAAGGTCATGTTTCTTGAGATGCTGGACTCTTTAGAGTATTGACAGTAATTATTCTATAACTAACAGATTGGGTTTTTATTTTCCTGTTTATATACTTGGTTTCGTTATTTTAAAGAAAAAGAGTCAAGATTTTGGTACCTGGAGTCTGGAATTTTTACTTTCCTATCAGCTTGCACAATGTATAAATGCGATGTAAAGCAACTTTGACATAGATGTCTCCTAACTGTCTCCTAACTTTTTTTTTTAAATTCTCTAGGTATCAGGCCATGGTCTGCTGTATTTATTTGACCCGATCACTGGCATCCCCACTGCTGGAACCCCAGCTGAAGGTGCTGACACTGGATACAGGGTGGTTCAGGCCACCACACTGGGGGTCACCGACGACCACCATCTCAAGGGATTGTTTATACTGGATGCTGAATTGAAGGTGAGGACTAGGGCACCTGGAGACAAGGGGGGTGGGGGTGGAGGGGAGGGGGAGATGGGGCACCTGAGGGTAGAAAGGGGAGGGGAATTATTGTGGATGTTGGTCATTTGTGTTTCTATTGAAGGGATATCCCTATAATTTATGAAGACACAATTGAAGGTGAGAATTGTTACATGGGGGGGGGAGGAGTGGGAGAATGAGGGGTGGGGGCTTACTGGGGATGCCATTTTATCTTAAGTGGTTCTTCCAAAGGGATAAAGAAGACAGGAAGTCTGTTAAGCAGGGACATGCACTCAGTATATATTTAAGTGTCCTCCGCTTAGCTGTCTGACACATATTAAAGGGATGTCTGTGTTTGCAGGTCCATGTGTATCCAGAGCATGTCAAAGGTCACGTGAAGGCCGTGCAGTCCACACTGTTCCTGTTCAATGCTGATGTGAACACAGGGCTGATCACAGGGTACAGGATTCAGGAAGACATCAAAACACAGGTATATATATAGCACAGGGTACAGGATTCAGGAAGGCAGCAAAACACAGGTATATCTATATATCACGCCCTGTTTAGTGCTGTGTATATCAGTATGGTAAAACACAGTACAAGATCCAGGTAGATGGCAAAGTACTGATATGTGTAGGACTTCTTCACTTGATCCCCTGAGTGTGTGGAGTCATGTATGTAAGTGAGACATTTCAGTGAGTATATATTACAGAGAGGAAGTGAAGCAAAAATATGCATTTACCAGTGTGGTCATCAGAATTTGCATATCGTTTTATTTTCAGTATATTTGAAAAAAAAATTAACAATTGCATCAACCCATACGTTTAATATGCAGTAGTTCTATTTTATCAAATATCTTTACATAACAAGCTTAATTAAATTTGATGTCCCCTGTATGTTTCAGTCCTTACATGCTGTGGAGCTTTGGACGATCAATCTCCCCAAGGAAACACAGACCATCACAAATGTGGTCGGAAAACGACCCACAGAACATGTCCATTCCCCCGGGAAACCCCTCGCAGACAGGAGCGTGTTGTACAAGTATCTTAATCCTAACCTGGTCGCCATAACTGCTGAGGGAGAGACAGAAGATAGCCAGCAAAAGGGTGAGACACTTTCCTGAACTCTTACATCATTTGACTGTCATTGATATTTCAAACTTTACCATGCCTCTATATTAATTGTTTATGGAAGGCTTAAGGCAGTAAATGCAACAAGAAAAATAAAGATATAATGATAATCAAGTAAGATGAATTAAAAACAACTGTGTTAAATGCTCCGCAAAAGTTTTTTCCCGACATTAGAGAGAATTTCCAGAAAGTTTTAAAATCTCCATGGATAAGTTTCATTTACTGCAAAGTTGAACAGTTGATTGTCTTAAATCCTTTTCAGAAATCTTCCACTAAGTGAATGCCATGAAATATCTGCAATATATATGTATAATTTTTTGGTTCTTTTCAGTTTCTGGTGTATTGAATATTTACCTGGTGGACAGCGTAACAGGTGACATGATATTCCAGGCCAGTCATAAGAAAGCCAGGGGTCCTGTACATCTAGTCCATACAGAGAACTGGGTTGTGGTGAGTGTAGAAAGCATTGTGACATGTTGTCTCAGCTAACGCAATGGCTGGGTCATGGTGGACTATAGCTTTTAGTTTACACAAAGTAGCCCTTATGATTACATTAATAAATAGTCCAAACTTATTTATCTTGAAAAAAGAAAAATCATGCACCACCATTATCATACAAATTTTGCTTTCAGTACAACTACTGGAATGAGAAGAACCGAAGAAATGAGATCACAGTCGTAGAGCTGTACGAAGGGACATCCCAGACCAATGCCACAGTGTTCTCCTCTCTCCACCCGCCCCCGCCCCCCATAGTGGGCCGCCAGTCCTACATCTTGCCTCATGGGATATCTGCAATGGCGGACACCATCACAGAGATGGGTATCACTGCGAAGAGTGTGCTGTGTAAGTCTCTGCTGGCTTTATTTATTTAGTGTTTTTTATGCAACATCCAGTAAAATCTGTGTACCTTAAATCCTTGCACACCATTAAGGCATTACAGGATATTTTCTTATTTTTTAAATTTATTTATTTATTTATCTGTCTTGTTATCATGGCAGTGGTTAAGGGATGAAGGAGGAATATTTTTTATGAAGATCATTCTTGATGTCCTGCATCTTGTCATTTCATGATATTATTACGTGATATTATTCAGGAAAATTTTTTTTATTAATTTAGTAAAGTTGAATGGGATTTTTAGAAATTATCGGAAATGATTGCTCACATACTTCTTACAAAGATGTTAACTAGAACTAGACGGCATCTTAAAGTCAAGTTGATCATGGTAAAATAAAACAAAGTTTGTTTAAGAACATGATTAAATTAAATTTTCTTGTTTCCTTTTAGAGTGGATCATGATTAACAAAAGAGAACCATTGTTTGATTTTTAATAACAAAATGATATATTTGTTTCTGTTTCCAGTGGCCTTCACAACTGGCAATGTCGCAGAGGTGTCAAAGTTTATGTTAGATCCTAGGAGGCCTCTTAACCCAACCATGGCTGACAGGTAACGTGATAATTAATTACAGTTTCTGTCATTCGTGTGGAATGAAGTATGAAGGAGAGCACTTCTAAGTATATTTCAGTTTTTCAGTCTTTACAAAGCAAAGGACCACTGTTACAATACTACTCTCTGCATGGCCCGTCACATTATGACTGTAATTTTCTTTTAGCTCACTGACAAACAGATCTTTGGGAACTGACTTTTTTGGGTATACAGAAACATGACTAACATTACCTAACTGCAATCGTCATGTAACAGTGAGGTCCCTGGTCCTCAAGTGTAGAAGTTATGCAAAGGTTTAACATATAAGTTTGATAATGCTTGAGTTATGGTATTATTTACTGTTAATTTTACAGACACCGTATTTTAAATCATAATTTCTTAAATTATGCACATTCCTATTGAGAAGTAGCAACAAAATCAAAAAGCAGGCTAGTGCTTTGTAGTACTACTATTCTTTGCTGTACAAGCACCACAAGTGCTTATTAATATAAATTTTTTTGCAAAAGTTTGATCATTTTTGCCAGTTGAAAAGATCAAGTAATTACTGTACCAATGATATGATTCAAATCACCTGTAATGTCCTACAAATTTCATGGAGTCGAAGTATGCTTAAAGCCCTCGTATCTCAAAAAAATTCATCAGCCGTCCAGCCATCTTTGAAAATTTAGGCAGTCCAGTGATGCTGGCGGCCATCCAAATGACAGCTGGCAGTACGCTGGAAAACCCTTGATTCAAACTATACGTTCTATATTTCCAGAGAAGAAGGCATCCCTCCTTACATCCCTGAGCTCCTCGTGGCCTTCGAGGCCATGATCAACTATAACCAGACGGTGCTCAAAGTGCACGGGATTCAGACTGCGGCAGCGGGACTGGAGTCCACCAGTTTATCTCTGGTGTATGGCTTAGGTGAGTGATAGACCCCATTTCCAGAGATTAGATCGATCTACTTTAGATCGTCCTAACTCCCCGGGGGTTCACGCTAAATAGCTGTCAGCCGAGCGGACACAAAAGTTAATTACCCCCTTACAGCATGTAGTAGGCGGGACGGACATTTAAGCCGGATTATCTGACAGTAATCTAGTGAGACTCCCCGCGGGGATAGATCGATCTAAAAGCTCTGGGAATACAGCCATAGGGTCAGGCAGCACAGAGTAGCCTAGTAGACATTGCGTTAGGTGTGACAGAAATAGGCATGATGCAATGAGTTGGGATGGAGCACACCAAACAAAAGGACAAATGCTACTGTAGTTTTTTGTTGCTATATTTGGAGAATAATAATAATGTTTTTTTTTTATTCTAACATTTTTTAAATGACAGAGATTGAATTTTACAGAATAATTTTGGTTACTGTAATTTTGCTCGCATTTAGTCCTTTTTAAGGATACTTAATAAAATGAAAATACTTCGTTTTTTCATAACTTGCGAGTTACTTTTACACAAATGGACAAATACTATTGTTGTTTTTAAACTACTTGTTCCTTTGCTATTTCGAGAAAAAAAGGTTGGTTTTGTTTTGTTTTTCAAGTATTTTTAAATGACAGAGGTTAAAATTTTCAGAATAATTTAGGAGAATGTAATTCTGCCAGAATTTAAGGATATTTCATAAAACAAAAAATGTTTAATTTTTTCATAACTCTAGTGTTACTTTTACACACACTTTTATATTTCAGATCTTTTCTTTACTCAAGTCACCCCATCCAGAAAATACGATGTTTTAAAGGAAGATTTTGACTATTTCTTTATCAGTGCAGTGTTAATAGGAATGATAGTTGTATCAGTTGTCTCACAGAAGTTAGCAGCAAGAAAAGCTCTGAACAGAGCCTGGACATAACATATGGTAGTAACATATTAGATGTAATTCCCTTTAGTGGTGACACTAGTGGGCTTGATTTAGTGCAATTTAAGAACACAAATAGTCTTACATGATCTTAAAACATGAGTAAGACCATTTCTAGTCTGACAGCCAATTAAGTTGTCTCCCCTCACACATTCTCCTATTGTGAGCAGAGGTGTCCTCTATTGTGAGGGGAGGAAACTGCTTGACCACTTGAGTAGATGTTAGATCATTTTTGATCTTAAAAGCAGATTCAGTCCATTTTAAGACTACTGCTGTAATGATTAAGATTGTGTAAGATCACTTGTGAACTTAAATTGCACTTTGAGACCAAATCTAAACCACTTGAGTGACAGACTTGAGTCTCCACTATTTAGAGGCTGTTGTTTCTTTATGAAATATGAAAACAGTACCCTCTACCAGGGCGACTGAATGATTTTTACAGATATTCACAGATATGTCTCTAGCTAGATAGATGGTCATTTAAAGCTCAACTCACCCTGTTGAGGAATCTCAAGGCTGATTACGTGGCTGATAATTGTTTGCATAACTGCTCAGGCACTGCCAATTAGCAGGTCCAGTCTAAGTCAGTTAATTACTCTGACTTCAATCACTTGCTTTACTGTGACAGATAAAAAAGCCTTAGACTGGTTGCGTACCGAGCAGTTATCACATCATTGTGAAGCTCAGCTCATGCAGAGCAAGTACAAAGCCTTTGGCGCGCGCGCAGAGATAATTGTTTCCACATGGGTTTCCTCAACAGGGTGAGTTGAGATTTAAATGACCATCTATCTAGCTAGAGACATCTGAATATCTGTAAAAAATCTATCACTCACCCTGGTAGAGGGTATGAAAACAGTATGGATATATTCAAACATTTTTGCATCTTGTATAGATGTTGTATATACATACTGTTTCTGTTATTCATTGCAATTTGATATTAAAATTCAGGGCCCAGTTTTATAAAGGACGTTTAGCACTAACCAGTGTTTAACTCTAATTAAACTCTAAAAATATATATATATATATATATATATATATATATATATAAATAAATCCTTGCACACAATAAGGGCATTACTGGATATATATATATATATATNAGCTTTGCTGCCTTGTTGTTTTCTCTTTTTACATTCTTCATTTTCTCTCTCTCTCTCTCTCTCTCTCTCTCACACACACACACACACACACACACACATCTATAGCTATTAGTATTTCTCATATGACTACGGTTAGCATTAATTTTACAGGTAAAATGTCCTGGATCAGGGAGGAAGCAATATCCTCCATATTGTCTGTGGAGATGGTTGACCTTCCTGTGTCCGAGAACCAGGCCAAATATGAGGATGAATTTGGGGCACAGCAAGGTATGCCACATTATGGTCACACTGTTAGAGTTGTCTATAGTGACAGTAGCCTTCCTCTTGTTGCTGGGATATCAACTGTAGACTGCAAAGTCAGTCATGAAAAACGATAATTATTGCCAAGTTGCATTATGAATTTGATTTTATTTTGTGATAATTTTTTTTTTTTTATTTTTTGCTTCAAAACTGACATTGTCCTGGTAAAATTTACACAGAGGTAATATTAATTCTTAAAATTTTAGTATCTGCTGTTGTATTTCATCAACAGTTTGTCAGCTTCCTGGGTGTGTATCATCTTGTCTTTAAGCGCCATCTATAATATTGTATTTCATTTCATCCTGCACAGCAGTGATCTCAGGTACAGACAGTGTGTTTCCCGTACACTAACTTGACATGTAGAATGATGTTGTATTAGCACACACAGTACAGTTTTTACCTGTTAGAGAATAGTAATGACTCGATCTTTTCAATGGGCAAAATTATCAAACATTCAGGTACAACATTTTAAAATCACCAAAAAAATTATGGTGCTTTTAATGCATAGAAAAGAATTATAAGGTAGTCTGCATTTCAACTTTGTTACTAACATTCAATAGGATGCTCTTTTAAGAAATTATGCTTAAAATACAGTATCAGTAAAATTCACAATTTTCCCCATTGAAGAGATCAAGTCATTACCATACTTGTAATGTTTAGCTGTTGTAATTTCTGAGCATTTACTTGATTATGAAAAATTGTTACCTTTCTTTGATGTTAATATCTGGCTGTTTTTCGTAGTAATCGCCCAGTATTGATTGAATTAGTCACCCTGGCGTTGTAGTATATTGTTATCAGAGCAGAGCAATGAGATTGTTTTGTACTGAATGGCATGGTAACATTGAGCTGCATGAGTGAGACAGGCATTCATGTGTGTCCATTTCATATGAAAGGTGTGGGATATGGAGTTTATTTCTCACAAAAGAAGTTTGTGTGTAGCCTGTGCATGTTATAACTAGTTGACAGTCAGACAGACAAACAGACCGACAGACAGACAGACAGACAGACAGACACATATTAATTTTTTTTATTTTGGTACTTTCAAGTTTGCAAATTTTTGAATTCCTTCAGTGGTTTGTTGATGTATCTGTGTTACAGGTTGTTTAAAGTAAAGGATCAGAGTTTAGTGTGAATACAGTGACATGTTATTTGATGATTATGTAATTTGTTTTGTTCAACTCCTGGCAGATGGTTGTTTACAAAGGTTCCTATTTACAAATAAATATTCAAGGTATTTTTAAGATTGTGTAAATTTGAGTTTGGAATATTTTTAACATGTTCAAAAATCTAAGCAGTAGGAAAAATTTATACTATGGAAAACACCACTTTCATAAAAGTGTATAGCACACACTGTGCAGACATTTCTGTAATCCTATTATGCATAATACAGGTAATTTTGCTTCTTTCTTGTAGATGACATTGGCACCAAGTTCGTCAAGAGACTAACTACCCAGTTATCCCAAGTGAAGGTTAGAGCATGCTTTGTTCAATTACATTATAATATACATATATCTGTGTGTGTGTGTGTGTGTGTGTGCGCGTGCGCATTTTATTTCATTCTTTAGTGTTAATCCCTTATCAAATATTTATATTTTTAGACTGTATCTCAAAGCAACATCTTCATTTTTAAAATATTATATGTATATTATTGTTTGGATCTGAAGTAGAAAATTTTCTTGTCTTATTTCCAGTCATTTGTGGTGCACCTCCAGCAGCAGTTGTTGAAAGGCCCACGCCATCAGTACCTGGAGGAAGACAATGAGTTTAATGAGGACGAGGAACTCACTAGAGACGAGTTCAGTATTAACAAAATGATTGTGGCTGTCACAGTACCTGGAAAGGTATGTCTTGGCATGTAATGACATCTAGATTTAAGTTAACACTATTGTAGCTGCCACTGCATCTGGAGGGGTGTCTTGGCATACAGTGACATCTATAATTTAGAATACGCTTTTGTGGGTACAATAGCATACAATGACATCTGTAGTTTAGTATACACATTTGCGGGTACAGTGGCATATAGTGATATCTGAAGATTATAAATCATACACACAATTGTGGCTGTCACAATTAATTATAAGATAAAATATCTCATACAGAAGATCCAATGACCAATGTACATGTATAGTGTACCATATTGTTTCTATTCAGCTTTTTGGCATCGAGAGTTCCACAGGTCGTATCATCTGGCGCCACCTGTTGCCTGCTCTGGTTCCATTTGAACGCCAGGGGAAGCAACTTCTCCTTTTGTTTGTACAGAGAACCACAGCGCATTTCCCCAACCCCCCTCAATGTGCAGTGCTGGGAAGACATAAGGTAAGCTGCCCCTGGGAGACTGGGATACAGATATATCTAGTCTAAAATGACATCTCCCCAACCCCCCTCAGTGTTCAGTACTGGGAAGAGATTATATAGATATCAACTCCCAGGATATTTCATCTTTACTCTAAATACTGCTATATGTATATATAACCCCAACCTTCCTCATTGTGAAATACTAGGAGTATATAAAGTTAGCTGGGATATTGGAGTTTTTGATATATAATTAGTATTGTTAATATTGGTATAATTATATACCATCTCCCCAGCAGTCATCAGTATGTGGTACAGATTTTATAAGGTCATGTTTCTTGAGATGCTGGACTCTTTAGAGTATTGACAGCGATTATTCTATAACTACCAGATTGGGTTTTATTTTCCTGTTTATATACTTGGTTTCGTTATTTTGAAGAAAAAAAGTCAAGATTTTGGTACCTGGAGTCTGGAATTTTTACTTTCCTATCAGCTTGCACAATGTATAAATGCAATGTAAAGCAGCTTTGACATAGATGTCTCCTAACTGTCAACTTTTTTTTTTTAATTCTCTAGGTGTCAGGCAATGGTCTGCTGTATTTCTTTGACCCAATCACTGGCATCCCCACTGCTGGAACCCCAGCTGAGGGTGCTGACACTGGATACAGGGTGGTTCAGGCCACCACGCTGGGGGTCACCGACGACCACCATCTCAAAGGATTGTTTATACTGGATGCTGAATTGAAGGTGAGGACTGGGGCACCTTGAGACAAGGGGGGGTGGGGTGAAGGGGGTGGGGGAGATGGGGCACCTGAGGGGAAGGAAGGGTGAGAACGAGGGGAGGGGAATTATTGAGGGTTTTGGTCACTAGTGGTTCTTCTGAAGGAATATCCCTATAAAGAAGACAGAATTGAAGGTGAGATTTGTTACATGGGGGGGGGGGGGGGGGGGGGGGGGGGGGAAAATGGGG